GTCTTTCCACACCCTAAGTGTCCATGGTCCCTGATGGACTGGAGGAAGAAACTACTGTGTCACCTGGAATGTGAAGTGTTACACTTCATCTACAGAAGGGGACGTATAGGTGAATGACATTCATTCAGCGAATGAGTGAATGGAGTAGTGTTTGAATTCATAAAGTGTTCCTATGCCAATCATTTTAAGAAGCTGTATGTTTGCTTCATACAGTTTGTTGCTATAGTGTGGTTCTCAGAAGGCAAACCAAATGCACTAAATACAAGGTCAGTTCTGAGGGAAATCTTGTTCCACAGAATCATTTACAAAATGGAATTTGAGGTCTTTATTTTGTTTAAAGTTAATCAGAATGTAATTTTTAAGGATAAATATTCCATATTTATGATTTTTATTTTTGGTGGGTATACACTAGCTTATAGCTTATAATACAGACAACTACACAACTATGTGATGTATGTTACCAATATTCATATTGTACGCATTCTTAGTAAATTGTATTTTTAGGAGCATTCCTTCTCAATATCAAATGATCATAAAATTTAAAGATACAATGTATTTTTGAAAAAATAGTCAAATACTACAGAGTAAGTCAAAAGATGTATGACTTCTAAATATTTTTGTCTACATTTTAGATATTACATGCGTGACTAAAAATTGTCATTTTTGTAAGTGTTCATTAAAGTATTTCCCAAATTTTGACTTTTCCCAATAATATATTCTTGAAAATATTCAGAAAGGTACAAATCAGAAGCTTACTTGGAAGGAAAATTTCAAAATGGAAAACACGTTTCAAAAAGTAATACAAAGCCTGGCCTGCTGGCACACACCCATATTCCCAGCACTCGGGAGGGTGAGATAGAGGACAGTCATGAGTTCAAGGCCAAAGTGGACTACATAAAGTATTCATAAAGAGTGATTTCAGGAAATCTTATGTCAATCTTTGTCCAGTTATGTTTACTGTAGCTAGCTCTGGTGGCCAATGCCTGTAACCCAGCACTCAGGGAGGCTGGGGCAGAAAGATAAAAAAAAAATTGTCTCATCCTGCATGCTTACAGACCCTGGACCCTGTCTCTATAAAAAACAATAAACAGGGACAGGGATGGACCTCAGTGCCATGGCCCTGGCTTCAATCTCCAGTGGGAATGGGGCAGTGGAGGGGAGTTGTTCTCAATATTGGTGTTAAATGGAAATTAGAGAAGGCCTTCAGTTTGGACTGAGCCCTTGTATTAGACCCGAACGTCCAGATTCATAATCTAAAGGGTGGGTCTGAGAACACAGCTCAGTGGTGCAGCATTTGAGTCCTTGAACTTAACCCCTGCAGCACAGAACAAATCAACCAAGATGGTGCCACCTGTGCGAGTCCAGCTAAGCAGGGGCCTATCAGTATCAACACAAATGCAGGATATCCTTCTGCAGTCCTCTCTCCAAGTAAAACAAACAGTTATGAAAGCCAAAACAGTCTTGGATGTTTTTGAGTCCTCAAAGGTGTAAATCTTTAGAGGCCTCAGGAAAAAATATTTTGGCAAGAAGAAAAGAACAAACAATACTTTAGGTATCCAGCCTTAAATGCCCTTTCTTTTTTTTTTTCCTCCTTCCTTTTGTACAATTCTTTTCCCCCCACACCATTCTCACTTTTAACACAGGGTCTCACCATTTATCTCAGGCTGACCAGGAAGTCCCTGTATAGCCCAGACTGTCTGGGGACACATCATCTTTCTGTCTCAGCCTCCTAGGTTTACAGGCTTACATAACATCCTTTTCTTAGTGAAGTTCAAATCCTGTAACAAAATTACATATATTTTTCAAAATAAAGTCTGTCTAGCAATAATTTTTTTATTGAGTTTATTGGTACATTTTAGGTATACAGTAGTTACATTCATTATTGGGATCTTGTACCTTTACATAATAGGTGGTCTTGGTTCTCATTTTTTCCCCTTGCTCCTGCCCTCCCTTCACCCCCTCCTCCCCTCCCCATTGACAAACACTTTATTTCCATTTTCTCATATTCTTCCCTTATTGCTTTTCCCTTACCCTTCCCACTTTCCCTACACCTTTAGCCCTTTTCTTCCCATTTCAAAATGTCAGTTATCTCATTAGGATCTTATGTACTATTACAGTTTATTCACACCACAAACTATTTGGTATTTATACATGTGTGACTTATTTATTTCACTTAGGAGTATATCCTCAATATGTATCCATTTTCCTATGAATGAATCTATTCTCTCGCTCTTTATGGCTGAGTAATATTCCATTTTATAGAAAAACTACATCTTCTTTATCCAGTCTCCAAATGATGGGTAAATGGGCTGTTTCCAAGTTTTACCTATTACAAACTGTGCCGCTGTGAACATGGGTGTGCATACATCACTGTGATATGATTATTTTAATTCTTTTGGAAAGATACCCAGAAGAGGGATAGCTGGGTCAAAGTCCAAGCTCTATGAGGTATCTCCATATTGATTTCCATAGTGATTGCACTAGTCTGCACTCCCACCAACAATGGAGAAGGGTTCCTTTCTCTGCACAACCCCACCAAATTTGTTACTGTGTGATTTCTTGATAGCAGTCATTCTTTGTGGGGTGAGGTGGAATCTCAGTGTTGCTTTCATCTGGATCTCCTGAATGACCAGTGATGTGGAGCATTTTTGCATATATTTACTTGCTGTTTTTACTTCTTTATCTGAGAAATGTCTGTTCATTTCAGATGCCCATTTTTGAATCGGGTCTTTATATTTGGGGGGCACTGATTGTTTTGAGTTCTTTATATATTCTAGATAATAGTCTTTTGTCTGAGGAGCAGCTGGTAAAAACATTTTCACAAACTGTAGGCTGTCTCTTAGTTCTGTTGATGGTTTCTTTTGCAGTGCAGAAACTTTCTAAAAAGATGAGATCCCAGTTATTGATTCTTTCTGCTAGTTCCCATGTTACTGAGGATTTGTTCATAGTCTTTTCCTATGCCACTGTCTTCAAGAGTTCTGCCTAACTTATATTCCAGCAAGTTTAGTGTTTCTGTTTTAATATTTAGATCTTTAATCCACTTGGATTTTAATTTAGTGCATGGTGAAAGATAAGGGTCTAGTTTTAATCTTTGCCAGGCTGAGATCCAGTTTTTCCAACACCATTTATTAAAGAGGCCATCCTTCCTCCAGTGGTGACGGTCAGCTCCTTTGTCAAAGATGAGGTAGCTGAGTACATCTGGAGTTGTGTTCAAGACCCAAAAAACAATAGCCTTCTTGTACACAACAGACTCAATGAGCAAGAAATTAGGGAAACAATTCCTTTCACAATAGCATCCAAAAAAATGAAGTCTCTATGAATCATTCTAACAAAAGAAGCAAAAGACCTCTACACTGAAAAATACAGCACTCTGAAAAAAGCGATTGAAGAGGATATAAGAAAATGGAAAGATATCCCCTGCTCCTGGGTAGGAAGAATCAACATAGTGAAAATGGCCATACTACCAAAACTGCTATACAGATTCAATGAAATGCCAATTTTAAATTCCAATGCTATATTTCACAGAACTAGAAAAAAGAATCCAAAAATTCATTTGGATTTGAAGAGACCTAGAATAGCCATCCTAGGCAACAAACACATGGCAGCAAGTATAACAATTCCCAATTTGAAACTGTACTACAAAGCCACTGTGATAAAAACAGCATGATACTGGCAGACCTGAGGATCAGTAGAACAGATTGTCTAGCAATATTAAAACAATTTTACTTTAGTGTTTTGTTTGCCTGTATTTTATAAAATTCTGATAACTAGTTATTGATATTTATGTAATCAAAGTAAAATCTAAACATATTTCAGTGTCCCATTTTTTAGGACAAAATGTGAGCTTTCACTCTGACAGTCTGTTAACCTTTTGAGTTAAATTCCAGTTTTACATGGAAGATTAAGCAGCACCATTTTCCTTAAGAAAAATCTACTTGAGCACCTACAAAGTTCACCCTAAAGGTTTATTTTTATCTTTCCTGGCAATTTTCCTTGGTACCCCCTGCTACCATCCAGCTAAAACTTTAATACAAATGTTTGATCATAATATTCTCAACAAACCCTGCTCTATTTCTAGATAAATCTGAAAACTTGGGGAGGTAGATGGCAGAAATGGAAAATGGAGAATGACTTGCTGTAGTAACAGTTTCCTTATTCGCTCTCATGTTCAAGCTTCCACGTGAAAAGTTTGGGTCTATACCTGCAGCACCAACCAAGAAGAGCAGACCAGGTAGCCTTTACCATAATTTTCTCTTATTGTCATATTGAACTATTTCTTTTTAAAAATTTTTATTTTATTAGTACATGTTTCCAAGGAGGATTATTATGACCTCAACCACACACAGAAATTGTCAGATCATAGGGAGAAGAAAAACAAAAAAGCTTGCTTGGTTATATCTTAAAAGTGGTGAAGCTATTATTCATTGTGTAGCTCTAGATCGGATGGTTAAGGACACACTTAAACATTTTCCTTCTTTAGTAGAAAACTATTCTTAGGTTATTTGCCTTTAACACTATTAAATTAGCATTACATTATTATGACACGGATAGTAACTCAGATATGATCTGTGCCTGATACAGTTTCACATATCAAAAGCTTTGAAGGAAAGATGTTCATCTGTTCAGATTGCAGATTCACTGTGAGCCAGGTTTTAGAGCTCTGTTGTGGACAGTTGTCAAAATTACTAAGTTTCTAACCACAGTGGGCCACATCCACAAATCATTCAGCAATCAGTTGTTTTAAATTAGCACTGTTCTAATCATGTAAATTTAGTCATTTTTGTTTTTTGCTCAAAAACTTGACATTAAAGATTAGAAATGCTATTTGTCTCACACCAGATAAAGATACTAAAAATATAAAACTAATTAAAATTATTAATACCATATCGAGAGATGTTTTACATTTACTCTAACTGGGAATATATTTTATGATACATTTCATGGTTTACAGTAGAGATTTTACTGAAATCCTTTACGTTGAACAACACTATGAGGTCTTTTTCTAATTATGCATATTTTTCTCTTTGAAACAAGCACCCTCTACCCTATTTTCTTCATTCAGCAGCCTCTGCCCTGGTCTGCTCCTCACAGATAGTGGCATATTTGGGTCTGGCCTTTCTGATGAGGGAAGCCAAGTGGTCAAGGACAGGATCAGTTCGGATGTCCAGAGGGTTTGTTACAGTCCTGCACAGAGGACAGCGCTTTCGAGTCTGGGCTTTTTCGTCCCAGCAGAAGAGGAGGCAGGAACGGCAAAAACTGTCCCCACAGGGTATGGTAACAGGGTCGATGGGGAGGTTCCTACAGACAGAGCATCTTAATACTTTCTCCCAGGCACTCAAGGTATGTGAATTCATATTTCTGAAAAAGAAATCAGATAGAGTCAGAAGAAAATATTGTTCAGTCTTGATGAGTGGAAAAAGAAAACAAAAACAAAAAAAATCCAAAGCCTGGACACTGGCATGCTTGTCTTCTGGGACTATATCTAATCTGTTTATTATTTTATGCTAAGACACAGATAAAATACAAATGTAGACCTGGTATATTCAGGCAGGCACATTTTACACTAAGACATTTTTTGAGAAAATAAAAGTTATTTTTGTTTAAAATAAAAAATATTTCTTAATTATAACTACATTCTTTTGAAAAGTTGAAGACTGGGATAGAGGGAAAGATTAACATGGTACCAAAATTACATGCTTTTTCCAGAATTCCACATAAACTACCTTTCTTTAAGTGAGTTTGGTGACACATGGCTGTTATCCCAGCATTGTGGAGGCTGTGTCCCGTGCTCTGCCCCTGAGCTACATTCCCAGCCCCTTGGCTGTGTGTCCTGTGGATCAAAATTTAGAGAGCATCCTGTGCAAGATAGGAACTTAGCAAAATATGTCCGCATGAAAGATAAAAAGTTCTAGTGCTGTACCTTGGTGCAGTGTACTTTGGTTCAGTCTCCAGTACCACCACTCCAAAACACTCCATCTCTCCAAGGCCTATAACCATCTTGGAGGTTTCAACTCCATGGAAATGTCTGTACCCTCTGTCTCCCAACACATGCATGATCTTTTCCAAAAATAGCTACTGTAGTTTGCATCTATATGTCCTATAACACTTCATGAGGTCATAGTTAGGGCTTTTTCAGAGGTGGCTAAAACTAGAGCCTGTAGCACTAATGATTTATGGTGCAAGCTAGAATTAAGGACACTAGGATTCAGGGTTTGAGTGCTACCTGCCCTAAGTAGTAGAGATAAGATATAAGGCATAAAAAATTTTACCAGCTGTTCCTCAGACAAAGGTCTACTATCTAGAATATATAAAGAACTAAAAAAAAAAAAATCAGACCCACCCAATCATAAAGACCCAATTCAAAATTGGGCATCTGAAATGAACAGACATTTCTCAGACAAAGAAGTAAAAGCAGCAAATAAACATAAGAAAAAATGTTCCACATCACTGGTCATTTGAGAGATGCAGATGAAAACAACACCGAGACTTCACCTTACCCCAGAAAGAATGGCTGCTATCAAGAAATTAACCAATAGCAAATGCTGGCGGGTTGTGGGGAAAAGAAAACCTTCTTCATTGTTGGTGGGAGTGCAGAGTGGTGCTAACCACTGTGGAAATAAATATGGACATACCTCAAACAATTAGGATTAGAAGTCCCATTTGACCCAGCTATTCCTCTGCAGGCTATCTTTCCAAAAGAATTAAAAGAATCATACCACAGTGATGTAGGCTCACCCATGTTTACAGCAGCACAGTTTGTAATAGCTAAAAGTTGGAAACAGCCCAACTGCCCATTAACTGGAGACTGGATAAAGAAGATATGTTTTTTTTTAAATAAAATGGAGTACTACTTAGCCATAAAGAACGAGAAACTAGAGATATTTATAGCTAAGTGGATGCACATTGAAGCCATAATGTTAAGCGAAATAAATAGGACACACATGTGTAAATACAAAATAGTTTCTCTGATGTGAAAAACTAAAAGTGTAGATAAGGAATAAAATGTGTAATTGATATTATGTAATAGGAAGAAAAGGTCTAAAAGAGTAGAAGAAGTGAGAGGAATAGGGGAAAGGTAAAAAGGGAAAAGAAAAAATATGTGAAAAGGGAAAACATGGAAACAATGTCTATAAACAGGGAAGGGTGGAGGGGTTGAAGGGAGGGCTGGGGAATGGGGAAAAGTAAGAACCAAGATACATCATGTAAAGGTACAAGATCACAATGATAAATAAAACTGTACTGTTTACCTGAAATGTACCAATAAACAATAAAGGTTTAAAAAAAGATATAAGGCATAGAAAGAGCTGTGGTCATCCCTTGCTTGATTTACTATCTTTTTCCTGACATGAACTGTTTCTCTTCTGTCATTCCTGTCTTCCATGCCACTCTGCCTTGGAGCCAGATGATTATGGACTGAAACATCTACAGACTGTGAGCTCAATAAACTTTTCCCCCTTTAACTTTGGGTGTCAGGTATTTTATCTCAGCAATGAGAAAAGTAATAACACAATAAGTAACATTGATGAGGAGTATTCCAAGATGGATTAATTTCATCAGTATGACATTCTACTAACATTGGAATACATGCTTTTATATTGAACTGTCACTCTTTCTAACAAAATAAAATGTACATCGGGGTGTGATGATGCATGCCAGTCTTTCCAGCAGTAGGAAAAGGGAGGCTCATCATTGCCAAAATCACAGTAACAGACACACACACACACACACACACACACACACACATAGATGCACACAAAAATTGATCAATTGGGTCTCTTAAAAGAAAATAAATATTCCCAGAATCATTCCAGAACATCACAGCAGCTTCATGTTTCTCAGTGGTTCATTTTCCTGCAGTAGTCATCAGCCACACTTGCACTATCATTATTTAAAGGAAAACAAAACTAATAATAAGAATTGTCTTTGCTTTCCAATTTGGGAGTAAATGCAAGCATGATAGATTCAGCTTTACTTCTAGTATTTCCTGTTAGTGAACAAAGTGCATCCTCAAAAAGAAAAGGCATTCACACATGTGCACACACACACACACACACACACACACAGAATGAAACAAATAAAAACAAAATGAGCAAATGACTCCACTTTCTAGCAGTACTTACAGACTTGCTGTATCTACTTGAATATTTTGAAAGCCAGCTTACAAATTAACATTTGTTTTTATGCAGCAGGATCCTGCTATATAGCCCAGGTGGCAAGGAAATTTTGATCCTTCTCTTCATTTTGAGAATTAGCTGGAACTCAATGTATAGAATACAGAACCTAGATGCAAACTAATGATATTAAAGGTACAAAGAAAAGGACCATTATATCATTGTTTTTCCTGTGCAGACTATACATTAAACTTTGACAGGTCAATAGGATGTTGCATGCCTATAAACCCAGCACTCTGTGAGGCTGAGGCAGGAGGAAAACAAGTTTGAGCCCACATTAGGAAAAGTGTGATATATCAGAAGAAAGAAAGAAAATGAAAGATGAAACAAAACAAAAAAAAAGAGAAGGTGCTTACATAGTTTAATGCAAAGATGGAGGACCCAACCCCAGGATCAAAAGGAAAACAAACCAAAAATAAAACAAAAACAAACAAACAAAACAATTTGCAGAAATACCTTGATCACAATATTCAAAATCACACAGTACATAAAATGGTAGCATGTAATTCCCTATGTAGGTTTTGTGACAAGTGCCACTACTTGTAGCTACTTAAGCTGAAGCAAGAGGTTGGCGATTTTGAGGCCAGGATGAACAACCTAACAAAACCCTACTAAAAGTAATTAAAAAGGCCTGGGGATGCAGCTCAGTAGTAGAGGACCTCTGGGTTCCATCACCATTACAGTGAGGGGAGGAAATAAAAATTACTCACTTGTAACACAGAGAAATAATATTACCAATGCTCTAGTTGTATATGTAAATTTTGAACATTGATGGCATATTCACTAAGAAGAAAAAGTGCCTGTTGACTTAGACAACAGCCATGTAGACAAAAAAGTAAATCAAAAGCATTTTTGTAAAAGTAAGAAAGAAAGCACAAAATACATTTTATATATTGTATACTGACCACAGTGTACTTAGGATGTTCTCAGGACTGGTGCTCTGAAGGGTCTCTCAGTATCCAGGTCCGCAGAAGCTCTCAGGTCTCCAGAGCTCAGCAGCTGCCAAGTCAGCCTAGAAGTGGTGCTGTGGGAGGGCAAAGGTGCTCTTTAAATAGAGGGGCCCACCTAACACCACCCTATTATGCTAATTGACAGGAAGCCACTCCCACTTTGAGAAACTGACAAGACACCATACTCAGTTTTGTCAGGAGATTGGCTCAAATCTTCAGGAGAATGGGAATGATTGAGGATTACACTTTGGTGAACAAATTCAGGAGACACTGCAGGATACATTAATTTGGAGTGAGATGCAAATAAGATGACAGACACAGTCACTTTTCAGGTTTTAGAGACACAATACCCAATACCTGCATCATCAGGACAGAGAGAATTATTTTAGCTCACATTTCAGGCCATAGTCCTGTGGCTCTGAAGCAGGACAGCATGGCTGAGGGTCACAGTAGAGGAACTGTGTTATAGACCTAGCGGAGAGAAAGCAAAGAGCATCAAGAGTGGAGCAAGGTAGGTAGTTGTGCCCTCCCAGGACACAGCCTCATTGTCCCATCTCCTTGGGCCAGGTTCCACCTCCTGAGGTCACAGCTGGCTCTAAACCTAGCAGTGTCAGTGATAATCACACCTTATCATTTAGTCACCTCCCAAAGGCACCATCTTTGAGTGCTTCAGGCTTTGGAGAAAATACAGACCTAAACCAAAACACACAGATTGTGCAAAAAAATTGAACTCAATCATTTCTTTACATAATTTGTTGGAGTGGCCCTACACATAGGTAATTCTATGCCTATGGTAGGTTGTGTGATCTTTTTTACCAGTGAAGTATACCAAAAGCCTGAATTTAACACTTTTTCAGGAAAAAAAATAAGACAGATCAGGATGTGGTGATACATGCTTGTAATCCCATCTCCCGGGCAAGGTGAAACAGAGGGATTGCAATTTTGAAGGCAGCTAGGCAAGGTAATGACAGATCTGTCCAATTAAGAAAGATTGAAGTAGGACTTCTTTTTTTTTTTTTTTTTTTTTTTTTTTTTTTTGGTTGGTGTCAAAGCATTTGTGCAGCTTCTTAGAGGATTTGGGTTTAATCATAGTTACAGGAAGGACAGAAGGAAGGAAGAAAGGGAGGAAAAAATTTTTTTATTTAAATTGGTTAGTGTGATGCAAATGAAAAGACAGGAGGAAGAAAGAAAATAAAGAAAGGATGAGAGAGAGAGGATGAGATGGTGGAACTGAAGGAAGTAGGGAGAGAAAGGAGGAAAAAGAATGAATAGAAGTATGTAAAAATGTGACAGATTGGCTTACAATGGCCACGCAGAGTCAAGTGTGGAAGAATGCAAAAGATACGTTTGTGTGCTGCAGATCCTAAGGACCTGTGAAAGGCCTGGAGCTCAGTGTAGTGTCCCCTGAGAGTCCTTATCAGGAGGCGAAAGGGTCTGAAGCCTCAAGGCTGAAGGTCTGTGCTGGAATCCAAGGCATGACATCCAAGATAAAGGCAAAGAATAGAGTTCCTGTGAATAAACAGACAATCCTTCCTTCTTCCTCTTCCCTTTGTACCACTCAGGTGACACCACCCTAGGCTGGGTTTTCTGTCTATAGTAAATCCTCTGCCACACTCAAAACTATGCTGACCCAATTTACTTGGGATTTTCTAATTCAGGTTGACACAATCAGTTAACAGATTGACAAGGGAAAGTGATGGGAAATAGGAGAAGGACAAAGGAAGGGGAGGAAAAGAAAGATGGAAGAAGACTGGAGTGGGGAAGGGAGAGAAGAAAAGAAAAGAAAGAGAAACCAATTGGGAAAAATATAGAGGAAGGAGAAGAAAGGGAGGGAAGGAAATGGGAGAGAGGGAAATAGGAAAGGGTGGAAAAGGGGGGGAAGGAAGGAAGGAAAAGAGAAGAGAAGTGAAGAGGAGAGGGGAGGAAAAGAGAAAGAAATTTGAATTTAGAGATGAAGGATGATTATAGTGTGAACCTTTAATGGGAAACATTTTAACATCGAAAGACTGAACAAACCCATTGAGTCTAGAATGAGCCTGACAAAACACCGGAACAATATACGGACACAGACTTAGCCAGGAATCAGAATACGCATTGTCAAGGGTACCATACCTAACGTCTTCATAGTTGACTCACTTTCTTTCCTTCTTGCCCCCACTCAAGTGTTGTAAATTTAACCTGTGTCACATAGCCAGGCTGTATCTCTGCCTAGTTGGATGCACATACTCTATGCTTCTTCCTTGGCACCAAGAACACAAAGCCATTGCTTCAGTTTGAATGAGAAAAGGACAGGTTGTACAGCAGGTAGCAACAATGGAGAATCATTGACTTGAGAGCAGAAGTCACCTTCATGGTGTTGGGTGAGAGAGTCAGAAAAGGAATTTGAAATTTTTGATGTAAATTTATACTTATGAGGTAAGAGGGCCTAGCTTCTGCATGGTGAATATAAAGAAATGATGAGAAATAGATTTGCATGTAAAAAAAATCTTAGCTGTAAATCTAATTTATCAAAATGTATACTTTTCCTAGGAAAAATAACTAATTTTTATTTTTCTTTTGCAATAATACTTATTTGCTGATATACTTCTTGTGTTAGTTACTTTTCTCTTGTTACTAAGTCAAAATACCCTACCCCCAAAGTTAGAGGAGAAAGGTTTTATTTAGCTCACAGTTTGAAAATGTTTTAGTTCATAATAAGCTGGCTCCAAGGCAGAGTGGCACATAGCAGAAGTGCATCGGGGAGGAGAAACAGTTCATGGCATCCACAGGGTAGCAAAAGCGACAAAGGACCTTAACAGTGTCTTCCTGCCTCTTTTATCCAGACTACTGGGACTAGGGTGGTGTCAAACCAATCAGTGTAGCCTTATACTGAGCTACATCCCCAAACTTTTTGATTTTTTTCTCTAATTTTGAAAAATACTTTTCCTAACATCCTGAGTTGTACAGGATAAGCTCCGACTTCTGATTCTTTCCCCCAAGCCCCCATACTTCTGGGATTACTGGCATGTATCACCACAGTCACAATTATATTTTATTTTGTGAAAAACTGGTAATTAAATTTAAAAAGATATATTCTAGTGTTTATATTTGCAAGTGTGGTAAGTATTTAATATTGATGAAATTAGGCCATATTGGATTACTTCTCACAATATTAATTGTTGTGTTAGATACTTTTCTCATTGCTGGGACAAAATGCCTGATACCCAAAGTTAAAGGTAGAAAGGATTATGAAACTCACAGTTTGTAGAGGTTTCAATTGATCATCGGCTGGCTCCAAGGTATGGTGGCATGGCAGACAGGCATCAAAGAGAAGAAACAGTTCATGGTAGGCAGAAAGTAGTGAAGCAAGCAAGCAAGGGATGACCATAGCTCTTTCCACCCTTTATACCTTATCCCTACTATTTCATGAGGGTAGCACTCACACCCTTAATCCAAGTGCCCTTGTTCCTATCATTGTATCATGAATCAATCCCAGTATCACATGCTCTAGATTCAGCCACTTCTAAAAAAAAGCCCCAACTATGACTGCATGAGGCTTTGCCAGGACGTCTAGACACAAAACATAAGTTTTTATTTTGTTCTGTTTTGTTTTGTTTTTTTTAAAGACAAACCCACTGAAAGAAAGATGGTTTATGTGGAATTCTGGAAAAAGCACATAACTTTGGTATCATGTTAATGTTTCCCTCTGTCCCAATCTTCAACTTTTCAAAAAGTTGTATTTATAATTGAGAAAATTTTCTATTTTAAATACAAATAACTCATTTTCTCAAATGTGTCTTAGTATATAATCTGCTTGTATTTAACATGTCAATATTTGCATTGGGCATAGGATCATACACAAATGAGATAAAGCCCCAGAAGACAAGCACGCCAGTGTCCAAACTTTGTTCTGATTTTTCATGTTATCAGGACTGAAGTATACATCTCTCTCCCTGACTTTGTTTGTCTGATTTTGTTTTCAGGAACATGGATTCAGATACCTTCATGCCCGCCAGAATGTCTTCACATGCTCCATCTGTATGAAGTACTTCCTCAACCCTGTCACCATAGGCTGTGGACACAGCTCTGACTTTCCTGCCTCTCCCTCCGCTGGGAGAAAGCCCAAACTCCTAAGTGCTGTCTTCTGTTCAGGAACATATCAGACACTCTAGACTTCAAAACTGAGATTGTCTTCAACGGACTGGCTTCCTGGCTCTAGAGAGCAGATCTGTGTTGCACATGAGGAGGAAAAGAGGCTGTTACATGAGATGGACAGAGCCTGGTGTGCAGAGACTGCTTGCAATCACTGGAACACACTACTCACAGCCATAGCCTGGTGGAGAGGGCTGCTGACCAATACAGGATATGTGATGCCTCTGAACAATTAGCAAATGCTGGGAGTCGAAGTCACAGAAGGATGAGGACTTATGGTCATGAAGAAGACAACAAGGTGGAGAATGGAAATGACTTTGTAATGCCATTCTTAAGATGTAATCATGTTTTTTTCTTTGTGGTTGTTCAGTCTGAATGTACCTTCATAGTTAGTTGAGCCTTCACAAATGGATCTTTCCTCACAGATATGGCCAAATGTGTGGATCTAGTACAGCTGTAGATCAGGAGTCCAGTGCTGGAAACATGGGATTCCCCTGCAATGTTGCCCTTCCTAGCAGTATCACAAAAATGTTTTGTTTTTTCAAAAAATGAATGATTTTATGGATAGCATTCCTTCAGACTATTTTGTTTCTATCACTCCTGATGACTCACTTCTTAGTATCAATTTAGACTCTCATGAAAAACCTCACCATCATTTTCTCTAATGCTGCTTTTTCTAATATATCAAAAGATGAAATCCATAAGATGTCCTCACCTACTACTAAAGCTTACGGTTGGTTTTGAGGAAAAACATCTGAAGAAAATAACTTCTTTATTAAAAGAGACTCAGGAAATGAGAAACAATATAAAAGAGAAAACTAGCAAAACCCAGTCCTTTATGGTAAGAATGGGAATGTCTTTTTTGTCTTCATAAAAGTTGATATGATGCTGGTTTACTCCACTGAGCTATATTTAAGTTACCATGAAGGATGATGGTTTCATCTCCATGGTTCCTAAAGATATCACAAGGATCCTGATTTTCACTAACTAGCATGAAGAGTGTTAGAATACTGAAGAAACAAGGCAGGGTTGGTCTACCCAGCACAATTTTGAATTTTTAGATAAACCTTTGTAGAAAATAAGGATAAGACAGAAATGTACTAATCTGGTCATGAAGGACAGAAACAAACTAACACCTGTTGGTAAAAGAGAGGAAATTTGTAAAATCTGTATAATATGGTATATATTTAAATATGTAGAATTGTGACCAAAAGAGAAAAGAAACGTAATAAAACACATGTAAGAGAGGAAATGGGTGATGGAGCAGGAACCAGGAGGAGCTGTCATGGGAGGCAGCTCTGGAATCATGGGCTGTCTTTCCCTGTACTCTTCACTCCTTCATACCAAAGACACATAAAATATATATATATTTTTTTTATTTGTGCCACAAATTTTAGTTCGTATTTTTTTTTAAATTTTATTGAGTTTATTGGTACATTTTAGGGATACAGTACAGTTACATTCATTGTTGGGATGATGTACCTCTACATGGCAAGTCTTGATTCTCATTTTTTCCCCTTACCTCTGCCCTCCCTTCACCCCCTCCTCCCCTCCCCATCTACAAACACTTTATTTTCATCTTTTCATTCTCTCACATTTTTTTCTTTTCCCTTTTTGTTCTTCCCCTACGCATCACACCTTCCCTACACCTTTAGCTCCTTTCTTCAAATTTCTAAATGTCAGTAATCTTATTAGAATCTTATGCATTGTTGCAGAATATTCACACCAGGGAAACTATTTGGTATTTACACATGTGTGACTTATTTATTTCACTTAGGAGTATATCTTCAATATGTATCCATTTTCCTAT